TCCTGTGTATTTTACTGATATTTCTGCTTCACAGATGTGTCAAATATTATCAAATTTGTCTTATCTTGAATCTCATTGTTTATGTATCCATCATTAATCCTGTAGGAAAATGCTTAGTCCTCTGCAACCCATTCACTCAGTGATGCAGTGGGCAGCTACAAATCCAGGATAGCTGCTGTTCGTTTGATTTGAACGCCCAACCTTCCGATCATGTGGCATCTACTGAGCTAGCTGTGCCTCGAGAGTTGGTCTTTAAGTGATGATGTATGAATCCTGCTTCCGGGCCCAAACTACTCTGTGTTTATTAAGCCTGTTGTGCTGTTAAAATGTTTTAATGCTTTTTATCTTGTTCTATTACATCTGAACAAGCCCCTAAAAGAGCCCGTTCTCGCTCCCGAGGCGTAACATGCTGACGATTTGTCACCTAGCGTAAAATGTTACGCTTTGGGAGTGAGAACGTGTTGCCTAAAAACAGCCAGTGATCACTGTCAGCCTAACCATCGGGAACCCTCACGTTAACTTTTATCAAGTGGTAAAAAGTTAGCATTCATCCTCCAGCTTCACTGTGTTTATATTATGCTAACATAGCTGTGTCGCTAGCGATCATGTAGCACATCACTATATACCAGCTAGCCCAACTTCAGTAACCTGACAATAGTCACTGCTGTTTAGTTTTCTGTCTCTATTTATGTTGGAAGGGGTAGCAGAGCTGGTGTATCATGTTCAGGTGGAAACAAGCAACCTAACTTCTAACTCTGTTAAATTTCATATATTCTGTTTTCATGGATGCCTGGATGTTACACCTGGTAGAGCAGCCACACTGATCATTTTATTAAAGATGAAAGAATTTAGACAGTTTGTAACTCTCAGTGATGCCACAGAGTTCCTTTGACTTTGGGATCTGCAGCGGAGTTTGGACCTGGAAACGGCTAATGACATCAGACTTAAAGACCAGATAGCATCTCTATTGCTTAATGCATAATTGTGTTGTGAATATTCATCCTTAATCTGTAAAAAAGCCTAAGGTTCAGAAATGTTATAGTAAGTTCAAAATGGTACATTTCAGGCTACAATAGCAAAGGGGAAGCTGTCAGTAGAGGAATGAAAGAGAAGGAACAGGGATGATCAAAAAAGAAGGAGAGAAAAGATTAACAGCCAGCCTGAGTTGAAGAAAGAGTTTCTCATAAAGGAAAGGGAAAGATGGAGAAATAGAGTGAAAAAGAGAAAAATAAAGAACATCAGTGATCTGAAAGAAAGAGAAAAAAGTCAGAAGAGAAGGTTTTGGAAACAAGCACAGAGAGTCAAAAGGAGAGAAAGTCCAGCAGGGTCTAAACACACAACCACAGAGAACTTTAGGAATCAAGGAGTAGTAGGTAGCTGCTTGCTGGTGAACTATTAAGATGTAGAACTTGACATGTGCAAAAACAGAATTGTTATGATGTGTCTTGTGATATTACAAAGGTTGCTAAGGTTTAATGGTAATTTTGAAAGAAATAATATCTTGTTTTCTACTAGTGTGTCAACACCGTCAGATTTGTGTCACCACCGTCAGCACCTTGTTAACTCCATAATATGGAGTTTTGGTTTATTTTTCTCTTTTGGAGAACCATATATTTTCCTCCCTCATGATCTTCCAATAAAAATAGGTAATTTTCTCAATAAATGTGTAATTTGCATTCTGCTTAATATGATTGTTTCTTATAGAGATTAAATACAAGCTTCTGAAAATATGTATGACTGAAACTCTAATAATAAAAAGCCAAAGAATCTTACTTTTAAATGTAGCATAATTACTTTGAAAACATATGTGCATAAACAATAGAATAGAGAAGCTGCTAATAGTCAAAA